TAAAAAAAACTATTTGCTTACTTCTAATCTAAATCTCTCCTCTTTTAGTTTGAAACCATTTCCCCTTGCCTTCTCACAACAGACCTTGCTAAACAGACTCAGTCCCCTTCTTTCTTACAGTGCCCCTTTAGATATTGAATGACTGCTCTCAGGTCTCCCTGGAGCCTTCTCTTCTCTGTGCTGTAGATGATCTTTAAAGTCCCTTCCAACCCAAACTATTTTATCATTCTATGATAATTGTGATTTGCCTTAGTATACAGCAAAAACTCATCTCCAAGGCACAATAAATGCTATCAGGATAATTAATAAAGGTTTGGAAGGAGGCATAAAAAAGACAAAATGTGTTAAGTAAAGGAATAATTCTGATAATTTCTTTCTTGTAGCAAGTAAATACATTGCTCAGCCATCATCATGCAGTGATGGAAATGCATGAATTGATGTTCTATGAGTTGGAGATATTGACAAGAGACATGCTTCAAGTACTGCACTTGTTAGGTGCCAGTATATCTGATTATATGTTGGGCAGTGCACTTTCATCTCTAGCACAAGTATTTACACAGGTCTAGCTCTGACTCTGATGGGACATCCACAACCTACTTGGGCAACCTGTTCCAGAGTGTCACCAGCCTCTGAGTAAAAAACTTCATCCTAATATCTAACCTAAATCTCCCATCTCAGTTTAAAAGCATTCCCTCTTGTCCTGTCACTATCTACCCTCATAAACAGCCAGCCCGCCTCCTGTTTATATGCTCTCTTCAAGTGCTGGAAGGCCACAATGTCTCCCCAGAGTCTTCTCTTCAAGCTAAACAAGTCCAGTTCCCTCCACCTTTCTTCACAGGAGAGGTGCTCCAGCCCTCTGATCATCTTAGTGGCCCTCTTCTGGACCCGTTCCAAGAGCTCTACATCCTTCTTGGTCTGGGGGTTCCAGGCCTGGGCGCAGTACTCCAGATGGGGCCTCAAAAGAGCTGATGGAGACAATCACCTCCCTCTCCCTGCTGGCCACTCCTCTTTTAGTGCAGCCCAGAACACAGTTGACGGAATTTTTCTTCAGCTGCACTGCTCATTCAAGAGAGATGACCAATAGATAGTGAAATTAAATTTCTTGTCTTAGTCATTGTTACACTAGATATCATTAAGACAAAAGATCATAATCATCATAATCTGGAAATGAAATAAATATGACACTAAGAAGAAAAGAAATGGAAATGTTTATCAGAGCCTAAAGCTGGTATATCATATCAAAAGATGTATGCAGTTTTATTCAGCCTTAAGTGTAAACTTTGGTCATTGAAGGCTGCTGTCAATATTTCTGTGTTCCGAAAAACATCATTTTCTATATTGTCTACACATTACCTGTGTATATATCTATATATATGTTAATAAACAACAAGACTGAGAAACGCGCACATTTACATAAGCATGCACAACTCATATTGTAATAATTAAAAATGACACCATATTTTGTTTTTAGTAAATTATTTCCTAGAAAGGAAATTTAATTGCTGCTCAGGAGCAGACAGAATCATTCTTGGGGAATGCTTCTCTTATTTTTTTATTCATATTTTTTGGTTTTGATATTAGATGGTACTTATCACTAAGCATGTCAGAAGTGAAAGTACATCAACATCTGCACTGTTTTCTTTGCATTCATCCTTGGCAGGATGTTAATTCTGCTTGCTAGATCATCAAATTAACTGCTTCTCTATCACTGTCTTTTTAATTCTCTCCTTCTATTTTCTGCTCTCTCTAAATATAATAATAGGAAATTAAACACTGTTTAATACTGATGTCACATTATGAATCAGTTGGGGTAATGTAGTAAAATTGCAAGACTGGCAGCATTTTTAGTCTTACCTTCCAGCTATACAGGAAGTATAGCATTTCTGATGAAGTAATCATAAAAAAATGCAACTGGCTTGTGTGCGACCATCTAAATTCTACAAGATCTGAAAGGGATGTTCCATAAATATTCCACAACATTTAGCCTGAAGTTGTTCAATAAAACAGGCAAAACCTACAAAAATAATCAAAACAGATCCAACTGAAAAAAAAAATTGGTTCTCTATTAATTAGAATAAATTTTGATGTAATTTATTGAAAGATCAGTAAAATTAGATTTTTATGCAAACAGAACAAAAAAGGGACAAAATAATAAAAGAAGACTGGAACATTCTTCTCATATGTGATAAGTGAAATGGGAAAGATAAAAATCTTCCAATTCCTTAACAAAACAGCCTCAAAATTCCAAAGCAATTCAACTAAAAGATATTCTATTTCTTTATTTTCTAAATAATTTATCAATATTTATTTATATAATATATTTTATATACATTTGAATATTCATACAGGGAGAAATGTAAACATTTTATGTAATATGTAGGTTCATACATCCCTTATCAATGATTAATTCCTTTAATCTTTTCCTAATCTGATATATATTTCAGCCCAAATAATTCTTAGTAATGCAGACATGAAGAATGCAAAAATGCAATTTCAAAAATAGAATTCATATAAAATTATAAACATGAATTTACTTTAAAGTCTTCAGAAGCCTTAACAGGCTTTCATCAAAATTTTATTTCCTCTGATTTCATTTTTAAATTCTACGTGCCAGTGCTGTGTGGTTGTGGTGTTTGCCTTAAACATTTTGGGCAGATTAGTGTGTATTTAATACATAAAGCCAGTCTGATATTGCATATATGTGATTTTTAAGAAAACCAAATGTATGGAACAATCTAATTTCTGAGAGCTAAAAATCTTTTTCAGAATTAGTGAAAATATCAAAACTTCCATAACTGGAATAACTTTGTGTAATTTTAAATCTCACTTCATCAATTCATTGAGTAAAAAGAAGTGTGAACAAATTGAAAAATTTCAGAAAAGATGCTGTAGTAATGCTAAGTTTGTAATACACATTCAGCCATTCCTACACTTAAATAGTGGATGTGGTTTTTGTTGGCAGAATTTTCAGGTCAAACTTCATAATGAGTAAACAGCAGTCAGAGATGTTTGTGTTACTTTTATGTTATTTTGCGAGTTGCTCACTGAAGTTCTTTTTTCTGAGGAAGAAAATGCTTATGTAAAGCTGATTCCTGAAATCAATCTTCATTAATAACTGTGTGATAGAAAGATTCATAAAGCACTTTTTCCATTCACCTGCAAAATCAAATCTAAGACAATATATTGATAAATATACTCAAATACACATTAAAAATGCAACTGTTTTTTGTTCCAAAATCTAATTTCAAAAATTATTGATAACTCCATTTGAAAGAATAGTACATTCAATTGGAGCAAAAAAGTAAGGTGAACAGTGTGAATGAGAAGAGATTGTGGATTAATAATGTGACCTTTCACTTCTTTGATTGAGGTCAAAACTGATGAAATCAATACATGTCATTTTTCGTTATTACAAAATAAGAGTTGTGCATGCCTTATGTAAATGTCCATATTTTTCAGTTTTGTTGTTTATTGTTAATTTTGCATAGAGTTTAAAACATGAGTGTCATAGTTTTACGATTTTGGGTTATCAGTATTCCACACCATAACATCATGTAATGCCCTGGGTGTTTGACTGCTGATGCTCAAGTTCCGGGTACCTGTCTGGTGGAGAACAACTACATTTTTCCCCAGGGGGCTTTGTGGTCAGTGAGGAGATATAACTCTTGGCAAGGTCACCTGATGTTCTCTTCTTTGCCTGCGCTTCTCCGTCTGCTTTTCTTTGTTGGCTCAACTGGACTGCACTTCTCACCTCAGCATTGTGGTGAGGCCTATCCACCTTTCAGACACACTTGCTCTCTCTCATTATATTTTGCTGATACTATATTTAGTAAATTAGTTTGTTCCACCTCAGATTGTTGCTGCTGTTTTCAATTGTTTTGGGTTCCCCTGTTTCCCTTTTCCGGAGGCGCAGATCCGCGGATCCCTCTGCCCTGCTGGTCACAGAACCGGGCCAAACCAGCCCCTAAACCACTGACAGTGAGAAAATCAAAGGACAAGGTAATATTGCTGCAAGCCAAAAGTCATAAACATATATGAATATTAACTGGAAAAGAACAACAATCTGTAAAAGTGGTAAACATTTTTAGGACTTCACTGGCACTTACGGTAGCTGATATCTTCAAATTTAATTTTCAAGGTGTGAACTTATTTTTTGAAATACACATAGGAGAAATAATGTGGTATATTTTCCTGGTTTCGGAAAACAATAGTAAACTTCAGAATTTCTTCTTCATTTTCCTGTTCAGTATTTTATTGAACTTGCTGCTGTTTCATTGGTAGCCATGCATACAAATAAACATACACTTTCACACAAATTAAAACATATTTCTACAGTCTTGAGGTATTTCATGGGTTGGTTTCAGTGAAAACAAAAGTTTCCACCACAAAGATCCTCCCATTTACATTAGAAATGTATTTGCCCAAATTCCTGAGAAATATTTAAGAAATGTACATAGTGAAAAATCTTCTGCAGACAGTAGAGACAAATCAGGAAAAATAAATGAGTAAAACGGAAACAGACTTCTCAAGAGGGCTTAAGCACCAACAGAAGGCACTTTGATAAAGGAAGAAAGGTAAATTTTTGTTTGCTTGTCTTTTTTTTTAGCTCTTCACCAGCAAAACAAAACAACAAAACTCAAACAACAACAATAACAAAATCTCACAAACATCTGGTATCACTAAAATAAAATAGTGATAACTGACATATGTTCCATAGTCCTCAGCTGTACATGATGAGTTTGTCTGAACTGTTTTCCTCTATGATTGACCAGATAGCTTGCCCTATACCGTTTTTTCATTCTTTGGTACTGAAACTTTTTCCTTCCCATTTGTGGTCCTTGAATGTTGAATATTTCACATAATTAGTAACTGTTGTCAAGCCAGAGCAAAGCAATGCACTAGCTGGCTGGCAGCCCAGAGATAGAAACAGAATAGTAAAATCCTGCAAACAGGACAGGAAGAGAAGTTAAACAAGAGACAAATCCTTTGCTTTTGGCATTTATTCAATTTGGCAAACTGGGAAGTTACAGATGGAAAGAAAAAAAAAATTAATAAAAATACACAGTCTGATAATTTTGACTCTATTCATCATTCCATCAATCTTTGGATAGCACATACAGCATAAGACATAGAATATCCCAATGTAAATGAATCCCTTCAAAACATAAGTTCTGAGATAACCAAGGCAAACAGAGCAGGGGAGACATTATCAGAAGCATTCATACTAAAACAGCCTATTCAGGGAGAAACAAAATAAATCCAACTGATTCCATGTTGACTGGGTAGCAAAAACAACAACAAAAGAAAAAAGTAAAAAATTATGTCAGCTCAAAACTATACGTGTACAAACTGTTAAATCCAGTACTGTCAAGACCTTCTATTTATATTCTGCCGTTTTGTGCGTTCTTTTCCTTTCAATTGTTCCTAATGCTTCCTTATAGGTTTAGAGCTTTTTTATAATATTCATCAAACCACCATCAAAAGTTTTAAAGCACTGAAGCTTCTGGCTCTTACTGTTTCTTTCTTGAACTATCCTAGATGTCCAATGGAAAAACATGGACTGCAGTGGCTCCTGAAAGAATTTTCTTCACGCAAAGGCAGTATGGAATCAAAGCAAATTCTACTCTCCTGGTTTATATGGCCCAAACTTCGGTGTATGCTGGAAGTAAGAGCCAGTGTGTTTTCAATAAGAGTATTCTTAGTTCACATTAAATGGTGCTTCTGTGAATGTCAATAATACAACTTTCATAACTGAATGAAACAGATCAAGACATTTACAATTTTCTAAACTGGACATGAAAGATATATACATTCTTCCTTTATTTCCCCCCCCCAGGATTTTAACCTTGCAATAGATGCCATCCAAAATTCACACACAGCAGCATGAAATTATGCTGGGTTATTCAGGGTAGTCCTGAATGCAAGTTACTTACATAAATATACTTGATGTTTATTACATAAACTTACTTATGGCATATTTTTAATGGGATTATTGATAAATAAAATGATGCTTTAAACAAATAGCAGGGTTGTCTGCTCATAATGAGTGCATAGAGTCGGAATTTAGGTTTGTCTGGTCTTTTATGTCTGTGCTCATGCTGCTACAGACCTTCTTCTCAATGCTTCAGTTTCTTTATTTCAAACATTTTTTGGTAGCTACCTTTGTGTATATATAGGTTACAGCCATCTGTAGGACAAACATTGCAATTATTTTAATCAGAACTTACTCATAGCACCTGACAATTTATTGAAAAATTCCATCTGTATGTCACTGTGAGTGAATTAGACCATGCATATTGTAACTTTATGTAGTTTCCTGTAGTGTAAAGTGAATATTATTGGATTAGACAAACAACAAGTAGATACAACAAATGAAGGGTTGATAATAAAGTTCAGAAACAGCTACAATTGTTGTGAAAATAGTTCTTCTTTTTAATTAAAAGACAATATTCTCCATGACCAACAGAAATTTCAGAGCAAAACATTACTGAAACACTTTCAGAATCTTGGCATATGTTTTGATTCTCCTCTGTCTGGTTACATTAGACTGTGTAATAGGGTGAAGGTTTTACCTACTATCACACTCAGGAGATTAAGCACAATATGGTCCTTCCATATGGTATTTGTGCCTAAAAACCAATGAGATTAGAATGCCGATGCTGAACATCACTCCATATGTTCATCAGAATGGCCCATAGGTCTTGACAGAGCTAGTGATTTTTTAGAGAATTAAATTATTATCTTTAACAGTGCCTCAGAAACACCTTGAGCACTGCCAATAATTATTATTTCATTTCCCTCCTCTCCACAAATTATGCTATTATAAGTTATGCTTATGATTACTTTGTTTGTTTCCACTATGTATTTTCCTCTGTTAAATGAACAGTTAATTCAAATCTACACAATTTGTTTTAGTCTTCACTTTGCACAGTACACATAAAGAAGTCTAAGAATGCTAAAAGATGTCAACAGTACACACTGACTCTTTCGCTGGATACTTCAATTGTTAGTCACATTTAATTTCCTGTGAAATACTCATTGCATTTAATACCAAAGGTGCACAACATTATCAACATCATCACTATAATTTATAGAATTAGAGGAGAGAAATCACTGCTTTTGAAAACATCTAGACTACTCCAGTAATAACATTAACAACTTTCCAAAGGTGGAAATTCTTTCTCATGCTTCCAAGCTTGAATATCTTAAAACCTAAACCTAATTTTCTTAAAGTTTTTGATTGTCCATTGATTAAAAATAATCATCTCCTCTTTCTTCCAATTTAGGTAAGACTTGTTCTTAGATTCCTTTCCAATGGGACCAGAGTGACTGGTTAGGAATTGCATCCCAGAAGGCCAGCAGTGTCTTGGCCTGCATGAAAAGAAGTGTGGCCAACAGAGCAGGAGAGGTGATTGTCTCCTGGTCTGCCCTTATGAGGCCTCATTTGGAGTACTGCATCCAGGTCTGGGGCCCCAGCACAAGAAGGATGCAGAGCTATTGGAGCAGGTCCAGAGGAGAGCATGTAGATGATCAGAGGGCTGAAGCACATCTCTTGCAAAGATAGGCTGAGGGGGATGGTCTTATTTTCCCTGGAGAAGTTATCAGTCCAAATAGATCTCTTTACAGCCTTTTAGTACTTAAAAGGAGCTTGTAAATAGGAGGGAGACATACTTTTTACACACTCTCGTAGTGATAGGATAACGGAGAATGGTTTGAAACTAAAAGAGGGTAGATTTAGATTAGTAGGAGAAAAATTTTCATTCAGAGCGCTGTGAGGTGCTGGAACAGGCTGCCAAGACAAGTTGTGCCTGAAGTTGTTCAAGGCCAGGTTGAATGAGGGATTGGGCAGCCTAATCTAGTGTCTGATTTAGTGGCTGGCAACCCTGTCTACGGCAGGGGGATTAGAACTGTATCATCTTTAATGTCTCTTCCAACCTAAGTCATTCAATGATTTTATGATTGTATGAATACTGAAATAATAACCTGAAGAAAGGAGTCTAAGAGTGTGGCTAGAATCCTGACAGTCAAAAAGAAAGTTATACATCTTGCTCGCAGAATGTGCTCTTTCCATAACCACATTTCAATAGCTGATAATGACTTCCTTTTTTGCCAAACTGCTTAATTATCTTTGGAAGCCCATTTATTCCATTATCTCTTATTTTATTTGGGAGCAAGGGAGCTTCTTTCTTCTTGGAGATGTTTTTCTGTTATCTTTTCATTTAGTCTTTTCTCTCACCGGATCTTGGTCAAAATACTGGCTTCTCCTCATTCTTCCACCATTTGTATTCGGCTCTCTGAATCACATACTGTCATTCTCCCTTTCTCGACTCACCCTGCCACTTTCCTCTTCTTCCTTCTATGGGTTGCTGAATATACTAAGTTGAAGGAATCATTAAGTCCAACTGCTGGCTCCATACAGAACTATATAAAAATGAAAATATATGTCTGAGAGTATTTTCCAAATGCTTCTTGGACTCAGGCAAAGTTAGTGCCATGACCAATATCCCAGGGAGCCTGTTCCAGTGTCCAACCACAGTCTTGGGGAAGAAACTTTTCCTAATACCCAACCTGACCCTCCTCTGATGCAGTTCCATGCTGTTCCCTCAGGTTATACCTCTGTCACCAGAGAAAAACTAACAGAAACAATATGAAAAGACAAAATGAAAAAACTATGTGAATAATATCTCTCCATTCTTAATTAGAAAGTCTTTATTCCTGCCCTCATCAAGTTAGAGAAATATTCTAAATCCTCCCACAGCAATGATGTTCATCTGTTTTGTACTTACTTACTTGTTATACTTGTTAATTTGTGTAGATCAACTTTTAAAATGCTTTAATACAATCTAAGGAATCATTATTTGTAATCATAGACAACACGTTTATTCAGTTTTTTACTTTCTAATTGTGATACATTTCTATACTCCCTTATGACTTATTCACCAAGATTGTTTATGATACACTTCGTTAATATTCTGTCATCTCATTTAGCAAGGAGCATAAATGTGAATGAACACAAGGAGACACTGATTTTAATAATGAAGGCTATCACTCAAAATGCCTTCCTGTCTTTTAAATAAGATATTTAATAGTTACTTGATAGATATAAAAGTCTAATATTTAAATTGAATTATGGTTTCTAAATTATTATATTGCAGAACAAAATATCTCCAGTTCATTGGCTTAAGGTATTTTTACTTTACACTGCTAATCTTACATAAAAAAGGGATTATTTTACACATCATTGCAGTCTTTATAGCAACCTAATCGGACTTGCACTCACTGCTGCTTGCAGCTATCATTTAGGAGTAATAACAGTGTGGGTTTAAAAGAGAATATTCCATCATACAGTATCCAGTAATTTTCCTCTTCTCTTGAATTTTAAGAAGGATTTTGATTTTCAATTGACTGCTCCAACCATAAGAATTCAAACATAAATTTCTCTTATTCACTTTAGCACAATGATATAAAATTGAAGTTATCCATGTTTCTGTCCAGCAACTTAAGTCACTTTAAGATATTTTTCTAGCTCTGATGTATTTTAATAATAATATCAGTACAATGGGATTGAAAATATGACAACAGGGAGGTGGAAGCCACAAGCAAAATCAATGTAACAGATTCTCACAGAGTATAAAGAAGAAGACAGTTATCTCCATAAATAGGTAAATAAGCAAACAGGGAAAACAATCAAACTATTGTAGCTTTTTCTTTTTTTTTTTTAACAATTCCAGTTTTTCTTTCCTTTTTTTTTTCTTTGTTTCTTTTTCCCTCCTTGCTTTCTTTCTCTTTTTCATTTTTTTTTTCTATTTATTATTATTACTAATATAGAAAAGATATGTTGTCTTTCTATAGTATGAGCAAACTATAGCAATTCTCTTATTTGAGAAAATTGTAATGTAAAGCCCCAGGTTAACTAATTACTCTTATTTACTGAATTTAAGTTTTCATAATCTCAGATAACCATAGATTATTGGGACTAACATCTGAAATTCTGGTGTTCAAATAGATTGCTGAATATGATAATTGTTTTATAGTATGTACTTTTTTAACCAAAAATTATTTTTACACATTACTTTGTGAATACACTTAGTAATTTATGCCATTAATTAACTGTTCCACTGCATTGATCACTAGCATCAACAAGATCTAAGAATTTTGCATGAAGTGCAGAATCACTTTATTTCGTGCTTTGGTTTTCTTGTGTGAGTTGTGGAAATGACATTTTAAACTGTTAGAACTGAGATTTACAGATCTCTAGTCTTAGTCAAGGTGTAAGGATTAGGATGGTAACTTAATTCAGCAAAAACTTTAATCACATTTGTGTTCCAGAGACTTTGACACTTTGCTAGTTCTGCATGTCTACACTTTTTATGCACATTATTTTCAACAAAGACCCTGATTGAATTTAAAGACAAAAGTGGCAAGTTTTCTGAACTTAGGCATCAGGATCTGCTTGTGAGCCAAACAAGAGGTTTACTGGAGACTTAATTGATCTAAACAGTCAGAACTTGTTTATCTCTTATGTAAATGGAACATCAACATAAAGTACAAGGATCACAGTATAGAGAAGTTAGTCAGTTTAAACGGTGAACTTGTATGTCTCCTTTCCAAGAAATATTGTATCTCGATCTGAAGTGTTCAGTGACATATGTTTAGAACAGGGCATTTTGAGTTATCGTATGAGATAAGTCCAGGGTACATTTTTATAAGTACAGAGAATGAGAAAATAAACTGAATTTAATGAAAAGCAATGAAAATTAAATTCTTGCAGATAAATCCTCCTTGTCACATCTCTGACAACATCAATACTAACCACAGGAGCATAATATAAAAGAATAGTAGATTTACATGGTATGACTGTTCACTGACAGTGACAGGAATTAGTGTTTGTACAGAATGCATATGGGTAATAGAATCACACATACACACACATACCAAAAAAAAAAAAAAAAAAAAAAAAAAAAAAGTTGAAGGGGTGCTCTGAGGTCATCTATTCTGGCTTTCTGCAAAGGACCACAGGAAGATGACAAACTTCTAAGTTAAATTGGGCTGCTGAGGATTTTATCCATCTGAGTTGTGACTTATGTCTAAGGACTGGGATAGCACAGCCTGTCTGTACCACCTGCTCCTGTGTCTAACCATTCTTACGGAGAAGCTTCTTTTCCTCATTCTTGAAGCTTTGACTATTGACTCTATTCCTCTCTTTGTTCCTGCAGTAAGAATGTTTCTGAATTCTTCCTTTTTATGAAGTCAGCTTCAAAACAGAAAAGCCCTTTCAGGTTACCAGAGTAATCAAGAGAGAATTGTTCACTCACACACCCACTCATATACCTCTCCCCTCACCAGTACATTCACACACATGGACACACATAGACACACAAATCCATTGGCTTGAGTCCAGTTCTTTTCATGAAGGATTACATACAGAAACTTGACAACTTGTGATCCAAACTGTTTCTTAGGGGGAAGGGAATTCATCTGTTTACTTAAACAATTTCCTTCGAAATAAATGAAGAGTAATTTGTTCTCAAGTGAAACTACATATTTTGATCAATTTACAGCACAGTTACTCCCTTTCCTCTGTCAGACTTACTGAGACAATGCATTTCAATATTTAAAGTAAAGTAAGCATCATCAGTTGTAAGATCTGTTGAAATTTTATGAAGCATAGTTAACTCTCAGTGCTGCAATAAAACAATAATAGTAATAATAATAATAATAATAATAATAATAATAATAATAAACATTTTCAATAGTAACTTCATATTCCATAACAGATCAAAAGATCCAGCAAATTTTCAAAGAATGTGGTCTCTATGGCGCAAGTAGTGACCTTCAATCTTATGCACATAAAAAGTAAAGCAGGACTATAAAGAAAAAATGAAACATAAAAATAAGATTTAAACCTCTTTCTGCCACATCCACGGAAGTTTGTTTTATACTTTGAGTCCAACAACCGAAAGTTTAGATTCAAGCCATTCTTCATGGGGCGGAGTAGAAACTAGGACTTCTGTCTGGGTTATAATGCATAGTAGCATACACAACATTTGCCAAAAACTATAAAGATCTTCTGTAATGAAAAGTTATTGTTAGAAAGCCTTGGAAAACTTACATCTATAGGAATTTTGTATTTTCATCACAGTTTCAAATTAATTAGTAAGACTACTTCAAAAGCTTTAATCTAGGCTATGCTATTAAGAAATATGCATTAGACATTTCCTGTTTGCATTTCTACATCGCTTGGTTTAAAGAGTTGTTTTACTTTCATTGAAGACTGTTGAAGTCCTTAATGTACAATATTGACAGAGTAATAAAAATAGCAAATTACGTTTCTGGCCATGTGCCAACTTAATTAAATTCTCAGTCATATTAAAAATAATATAGAGGACAAAAGAAAAACAGCCTCATTCAAGCTTAATCAGGACTGCAGCTTAAATAAAATGAGGAATGAGAAGTACTTTCCTATGTTCCTGTTCCACTAAAAATCTGCCCTCATATATTATATCCTGAATCATGTTAATATTTTGCACTTTTCTTTTCCTAGATTCATGATAAAATCACGTCCAGCAACAGTGCATTCTATGAATATGGCAGCCTAAATATTTACAGTACTGAAATAAAGCAGTACAGTTTCCCTTTCAATTGCAGTATCACAAGAACATATACTCCATGGTATTTACTATTAACTCTTTAAGAAGTCTTTAATATTGAACCTGTTATACATGACATTCTAAGCAACTGCAGATATGACTTATTCAATCTAAAGAACATTCTGAAATATGAAAATATGAAAGCAACTGAAAAAAGAAATCTTTCAAATGTCACAACTTAATGTAGAACTGTATGTCAGATGACGATAACCTTCAGAGGAAATATTTATGTATCATTAAGGACTTCACTTGACAGATTCATGCACTAATGGCTGTAAACATTGAATGAGCAAAATAAGAACATATTCAATAGATATGAAACACAGAAGAAATACTAGTATACCATTAAAATTGCAGAAACTTCTAAGTAAAAATATGCTCCCTGTAAATAAGCACTGAGGCTATAGAAGGATATGCATTGTTTAATCGTCAGCAGTTATTTATTTTACTGCATATCAGCCATGCATAAGTACAACAAACATACTTTGCTTACTGAAAGTGCTCTAGAAATAAGACTGATATTAAGACTTACAATGAATTTTGTGAGTTGGTTGTTACAATATTATCCATAGACTAGACTCAGTTCTTATGTTTTCTTTACAATATCTTACGGTTTACAAAGACACCTAGAAAAAATACTAACTTAACCTAAATTGTCCAGTAGATATTGCAAAAGAAAGCATGCATCCTTCAGGCTTCAACTAAACTTTATGAAGCCACCTTACTCCTTACTGATTTGAGAGTCCTCAGATTCCTTCTACTACACTTACACTTTGCCAGAACTTTACTCATTTCCTTGTTTCAGAATAACCATCATAGAATCACTGGTTGAGTTGGAAGGGAACTTAAAGATCATCTGTTTCCAAACCCCTGCCATGGGCAGTGTTACTGCCCACTAGATCAGGTTGTCCAGGGAGCCATAGGACTTGGCCTTGAATGCCTTCTACCACTCTGACTATTTACCTTAAATTTTGGAAAACTTCTTTAAATTCTTTTGAAGGTTGCCATACATGTGACATGGACAGAAAAAAAAAAAATGGGGGAGTGTGCACGTGCTTGAATCTCATTCTGATAGGGAATGGCAAAATACTTCGGGATTAGAATAATTACTGGGTTCATTTTGCAAAAAAGACTCTTTGAAAGTTAGGTAGCAGTTGAATAGGAGTTCAATGTAGGGAGTTGTGCATTTAAATATCCTTTTCTTCTTTTTCTAGACTTTTCTAGTCTTTTCTGTTCCAGGATAGTATGTTTTATTTCATATTAATTGCTGTAATCACATTGCAATAGTAGCATTAAAAATGTTTTTGAGTTTAAATTATATTTAATTATATTGTAAGACATTAAATATGTATTTTTATATTGAAATGTTTGATCGTTTTTCATAGCTGGGATGAAAGGTGATTAAATAGAACTAGTTAATTGGCTCATTAAAAGATAGATCCTCTCTGTGTCTAAGGCATGTACATACTTTGTGGAGAACAGACAAGAAAGATATAAGAAACGTATCTGCATAGAGTGAAAAGATTGAGGGGAGAAAGACTGTAGAGGAGCACACAAGATCAGGACTGCACATAGCAATGAAGCTGAAGCAGTGTTTTAATTTCATTCACAAGACAAGCAAAAGCAAAGCTATAGCACTGTTTGTGACAAGCAATGAAATTGTGATGGGAGGGGAAAGGAGGGGAGGGAGGGGAGGGGAGGGGGGAGAGGGGAAGGGAGGGGAGAGAGGGAAGACAGGCGGGAAGGAGAGAGGGAGGGAGGAAGGGTGGAAGGGTGGAAGGGTGGAAGGGTGGAAGGAAGGAAGGAAGGGTGGAAGGAAGGGTGGAAGGGTGGAAGGGTGGAAGGGTGGAAGGGTGGAAGGGTGGAAGGGTGGAAGGGTGGAAGGGTGGAGGGGAGGGAGGGAGGGAGGGAGGGAGGGAGGGAGGGAGGGAGGGAGAGAGGGAGGGAGGGAGAGGGAGGGAGGGAGGGAGGAAGTAGAAGTGTAATAAAAGAATCATTAAGCTAATACTAAGACAGCATGAAAAATAATAAGCATGTCAATATTCTGTTAAGAAAAAGGTGAGCATGAAGTTTTCTATAAAACCTGATCTATCATCAGCAGATTTCTCTTGAAGATTCTGTTATACTTGAATACTCATGGTCTATTTCTTGGTTAATAAAGAATCAGAAAATACTGTGTCCCTGCATATATGCCTGCTGATATTTCAGTCAAGTATTATTTAATTTATGTTTTGATTCTTTCTGTAATCCCAGCCTGAGAGTAGCCCTGGATAATATGTTACAGCTGTGGGCACTATGAATTAAGTTTTCTATCATCTTTTTTATGCCAGTCCATTGACTTGGCTGCAGAATAAATTGGCCTCATCTTCTCATCCAAAGAATATGCTGGCAATGTGTGAAGCATTATTGCCACTGAACAAATCAGTGATTAAACTTAACAGGAGTATTCCATTAAGTCCCCAAATTAGAGAAAAAAGATTCCAAACTAGAGTAGATTCAGCAAGGGAGAATGAGCAAGAATGAAGACTGACTCTACAGGTCAGTTAATTAATGCTGTTAGAGACAATATTGATTTAGATGATCCTTGGCCTTGACATAATTCTTATATTGCTAGGATAAAAAATAATAATAATAATTCATGTTTATACTGTACAGATTTCAACAAGGTTTACATTGACAAGTAATTCAGACATTGCAGTAAGGATTTTAATGCAAGACACAGCCTTCAAAGAATACTTAGAAAACTGTCACCCTTGCATTTTAAAATCTGTAGTGCCCACAATATAGACATGGTGTATAGATCCTTCTGCCTACAAAAGCACTCTGAACAGAATACAATATATAGTTTTTTGAAAATACGAGAGAACAAAATGAATTTAAATGCATTTAAATTTATTAAGAATACAATAGGAGGTGGGAAAGAAAGGTGAAAATATTTTAGTAAAAGAGGATCTAGAACTCTTTTCTAGTGAAAAACAGTGTGTGGGGGAAAGCATCCAAAAAGAATTAGCTGGCTATAAGACATAAGATGTTTGGTAGAAGAATTTTGTAAGATGGGAGGATGGATAGTCATGCAGTGATAAACTGCATTACCCAGAAGGTCCTTCACAGAGTTAGGTACCTATCCAAGACAGAAATAATTTCCAAGGAATTATTACCAGATATTATTAAAATAAATTTCAATGACACCTTATCAATTCACAAAAGTTAAGATCTAAGGTAGTTGCTTTTTATGTATATTTTAAGAACATTTGTTCTGCCTAGATAAGATGGAGATTTTTATGAAGTTTTCAAATTATTTTTATCCCAAAGAATGCTGTGGAAGAATGAAAGTAACTAACTGAATATTAGTTATAATAATGTACAAAAAGCTATATCATATATTTCATTATGGCCTCTATCTATGCAGTTAAGCTACTCCGGATTTTTCAGTCAAGTTATAATTTGTGCTGGAGATGAGAGAATCGGGCTCGGGTTTTATTTCTGAAGCCTCACATTATTTAGAGAGATCACTCATTGACTCCATAAAATGATAGGCATAAAATAACAACCATGTACCTAATCACCTAGCTGCATAGCTTCAGAATGAAAACGTTACTGAAGTGATTGGTGAATTGATTTTGCCATTTACTATGGGTTTCCAGCAAACATTTCTTTCATTCAATAGGTAGCACTGACCCATATAAAGACTCTGATCTTTATCCTAGATATTTATCTTTGATACAATTTTTTTCTTATCATTTTAGAATTCCATAACAGGAGTATACGCATCATCACATATAAAGACCAGTGGTGTCAAATACATGTCAATATAGGCAGGTAAATGATGTTGCAGACAGGTTTTGGGCATGCAGCTGTTAAATTTGCATTCAAATAACCAGCTATGCCATTAATTTGGAGCCCTTGTTCCTGCATCTCTGAAAAGCCAGGAAATGAACATCACAATGCTTTTGGGAGGTCAAGAAGTATTGCCATAGGAAAGAGTAAACTGACACTCAGCATTCTAATGTATTTCTCCATGTTCTTTGTTCCTTGACAGAAAGTAGTAAAGTTATGATGATTCATTTTTGAAGCACCTGTTTCATACTGGCTAATGTCAAAATGGGATCACTAGGTCTATCCTGACCTCTTACCTACCAGAAAAATCTATATTTCAATCAGCTTTGTTCATGTTGGGCTCTGTGGTTCATTTTCGGAAAATGTATGTAATTGCTGAGGAAACAAGTTGTTATATGTTGTAGGGATGACTAAAAACCAATGAAATTGCATTCAAACTAAAAAATTGAATTGTTCCTGAGCACCAGTACCAAAGTGCTTTTGCTTACCCTTGTCAGAGGTCCAGTTCTTGCTCTAGGACACTCAGCAACATACGACATGATTTCCAGACTTTCTGTCCAGGACGTAATCCTTTGTTCTGGGAGATAAGAGATTAGAATCAATTAGAGAACCATAGAATGCTCCCAGTCACATTTAATTTCCTAACACACTCATGACATTTTGTATACTACTTAAGTGCAAGAAAATTATTGAAGCACCCTGACTAAATGATTCTACCAAGAACAAATTGTATCTGCAGTACCAGGGAAAACACTGGACATGGTGCCTGTCTTTCTGATGTCAAATGTGATAATCAGTCCCACATGCGTAGGAGTGACACACACACACAAAATATATGATCATAAAAAATAAAGAATTACAAGGATTCACCCATTTCTTGTTATTCAAAAATCAGGTATAACTGTATGATTATCATAATGAGCCTGTATGGTTAACAGCAAATAGAATGTGAAAATGTCTAGAGATGGATGTCTTAATAAACAAACAAACAAACAAACAAATAAATAAATTCTTAATGATTTAATCTATCAGAGTCTCAAAGCAACATTTTAATGTCATTTTGGTAAACGGCTACAATACTATTGCAACTTAACTCGGCAGGCAGATAAGCACCACAAAGTGCTTATCTACTCCTACAAAATTTATCTACTCCTCCCTCCTAGTAACTTTAAAATCAGTATTCTGGGATGTGGTATTTAGTGCAATTTTACTTGCAATGTGTTGAAATACCAGGTTTTTGATTGATTTGTTTTTACATGGAAAGATTTGAAATTACTGTAGTATAGTTTGGAACATAAACTGAATACAATTTACTAAATCTTAAATAAGAGTCAACTTCTGAGAAGTGAGAGGGAATTGCAAATTTCATCTAATTCACAATGAAATAAACAGAATAGTGATTATCTCTAAAATGAAATTATTCACAGATGTCTAGGCTAGAAAGGAATTAACAAAAATCTGCCACTGAAGAAGCAACAAAATCATTTCTGTCCCAAGGTCTACACTAAACCATTAAGCTCTTGTAGCCCAGGAGAACACTAATTGCCTCTATTGCTTCTTATCTTTCATAACAGAAGATGTGAGTCTGAGATATTAGGAATATATGAAAGGAGCCGTACTCAGGATATACTTCATTACTGTGATTTGAAACAGTCTTGCTTATCATTGATGAAGTCTGTCTGGTGTCTTTTCGGTTCTCCGGAGACCCTGCACAACCTTTCATGCTGCATTCAAGTCTCTTGCCTTTTCACAGAATCACAGAACGGCCAGGGTTGGAAGGGACCTCAAGGATCACCAAGCTCCAACCCCCCTGCCACATGCAGGGCCACCAACCTCCACATTTAATAATAGATCAGGCTGCTCAGGGCCCCATCCAACCTGGCCTTGAACACCTCCAAGGACGGGGCATCCACAGCCTCTCTGGGCAGCCTGTTCCAGTACCTCACCACTCTCTGGGTAAAGAATTTCCCCCTGATGTCTGACCAAAATCTCCCCTCCCTCAACTTAAAACCATTTCCCCTTGTCCTACACATATTAACCCTTTCAAAGAGTTGATTCCCCTCCCCTCTGTAGGTTCCCTTTAGGTATTGGAAAGCTGCAATGAAGTCACCCTGCAGCCTTCTTTTCTCCAGGCTGAACAAGCCCAACTCCCTCAGCCTGTCCTCATAGGGGAGGTGCTCCAGTCCCCTGATCATCCTAGTGGCCCTCCTCTGGACCCTCTCCAACAGCTCCCTGTCATTTTTGTACTGCAGGCTGCACACTTGGATGCAGTATTCCAGATAGGGCTTCACAAGAGGCTCCCTGTCCCTGCTGGCCACTCCTCTTTTGATGGACCCCAGGATACCATTTGCCTTCCAACCCGCAAAAGCACACTGTTGGCTCATATTAAGTTTTTAGCTGTTAATCTTATGCCTCTTGGATTGTAAGGCTCAATCTGACGACCTAATCTTTCAACTCCTTCACAGTAAAATGATGGTTTTTTAAAATTAAAATTAATTTGTCCTATATTTTATTCTATTTCACTCAAAGTTGCCTTCTGAAGTTATATTCCACAAATTAACATCTTTCGTTATTTCCTTGATCATGTCCTCTTGCATTCATTTTTAGTTTTGTTGATGATGTTGTTTTATAATCATTTTATGAGAAAAAATCATCCACAATTGCCACAATATTCTTAAATGCTAATATGTTAATGTCCTAAATTATACATAACTATAAGGATTTATCTCTGAATTAGGAGTAGAGTCATGCCAACTTATTTTCACTTGAGAAAATGATGCCTAAGCTTACCTTAAGATGTTTAGCATCTTAGTGTTAACCTTCTTCCATTTTCAGAGATGAGCATATGATTACTATTTTCCTAGCTTTGCAGATGAACATGAATCCATCTTCAAGCCTCTGCAAAAGTAAAATTTTCAAAACAGAGATTTTTATCTTTGTCTGAATTACTTATAACTTAGTTCCTTATTTCAACTAATCTCTTTAAATTCTGTCATAAATGTTAATTCTATGTTGTGCTTCCAACTGAGACTAGATACAATACAGATGAAAAGTATAGATGAAGAAACAGCCTGTACAGTTCTGTAATTTGTATTTAAGTATGGTTTTTATAGAAAACCAAAGAATCATTGCATATGAATCCTGTTTGCTGTGCTTTCCTTTACATTCCTGTCTCTTGACATAACACTAAAGCTGGTAAAGTGGATATTAAGCATGTTATTTTGGTAACTGTATATTAATAGCCCTTCTAAATTAATCAGAAGTTTCAAGTCACTAGGGAAAAATAAATAGTTAAGTGAGGCTGATAATATAATGCAGTGTTATACAATCCAGGGAGAAATAAAGAATCATGTATTGATTATCTGCTGTTGCAAAACAAAGTGTTTTTTTTTTTTTTTTCTTTTCTAATCCAAATTAAGTATTTATGTGTACTGTGGCCAGTGTTCTGTGAAGATATTACTTCAAGAAGAGTGTGGCAGAAACATAAGTTTACAATGGCTTGGAAGCAATGTAAACCTATATAATACTGAACAATGTAACTGATAACAAAGACTTACTTTATTGTGGAAACAGTCAATTCAAAAAAGTTTTTTTTTTTTTTTCTGAAAACAATTCTTATATGAAAGATAGGACAAGATGATACCATTTTCAGGATGTCACATTAAATGATTTGTTTCTGAATGATCAAAAAAATACTAATTTTTTAATTATTCTGATTAATCTGCACATATTATGAGAGATGAGGTGAATAACAATGAGATGCCTTATTGATAGATTATGCTATTGGAGGATTAGGAGATCCTAACTTCATAATACACAAATTTACAATTTGTCCAAATTAAGTGGAGTTTGATTTCAGCTACATGAAATATTCCTACACATATTCAACTGCATGACCAATGAGGGGAAAAATTATAATTATCTGAATTAGTAAGGTTTCCTTGTTTATATGTTATGGAAGCTTCCAGTTGGCATGTAAGAAATTTTCCTTGTTAGTCTGGAGAGATGCAGCAATGTAAGAAAACTATTACTTGCCTTTATGCTCAAGCTATCTTGAGATGCAATTAAAAACATCACATAAAGGAAAAGTATGGAAATTCCATTACTCTGAAGACTTCTGTAAGGGGAAATATAAAGATAAAAGCATCTATCTCCCCAACATCTTATTTCACTTTCATATGCATGAAAAGGCTCATTGACTCTAAATATTAATTCTTTTACTCAGAGCATGTAACAGACCAAGTAAGTTTTCCCACACTTTGTTGAAAAGCTTCATAACATAGCAGAGATTCTAGTTCATAAGTTCTCCAAATTCCCCAAATTATCTTCTGCTCAAGTACACACTTGAATACTTGAATAAATATGTTGAGATGTATGTGAAAAAAAATTAGTATTGAGATCCTTTTCATGCAACAGAATGGTCACCTAATTTAAAATCAGATAGGTTCTTGTAAATTAAATCCCTACTGAGGAATGAGTTGACATGTAAGATGCAAAGTGCACACAATTACCTTCTTCACCAAAATTTCTTGGGATCTTTTTTAAAACTTTGGGTAGTACTTGGTTGGGTGGGTTAATCTTGGCTGTCTGCCAGGCTCTTGATCAGCTGATCTCTTGTTTTGTGTCTACAATGGGACAAAGGAGAATAGAAAAACTCACATGTCAAGATGAGGACACGTATATAATTTACCAATTGTGGCCAATTACCAATTATTATCAATAGGCAAAGCAACCTCAAATTAAGCAAAATCATTTTCATTTGTCACTTAAAATAAGCTTAGGTGGTGAGAAGCAAAAGCAAAAACAACTTTTCACTTTGCTCTCTGTTTTTTTCCTAGGCTTGACTTCACTCTCTCATTATGACTCTTCTAACTTCTTCTTCCCCAACAATATTATTTATATTATTATATTATAATTTATTAATATTAATGTAACATTATAATATTATTTGTATTATGAATTATAGTATAGAAATATATATATAATAGAGAGAGACACATTAATATGTGTGTGCATTCTCATGTGTACAAAATGATAACTAGGGAAGGGCTTGAAGGAAGTATGAATATTATTTTTATGCCGCAAGTGCCATGAAACTCTGGATTAAAAAGTATAATCAATACTATTATATGTCTTTATTTAAGGGAGATCATGTTAAATGCCCAGTGCTTCATCTGAGAGTATCATAAACAGTTCATCTGGTTGAAAATTTAACTCCTTAGTGCTATTACTATCAGGAAGATGGATTTATGCCTTTCAGATAAGTAAACTCCAACATATCTGAAGTATTTGAGTAACCTAACAGTTACTCTATGTTTATTCTACCTCTTTCCTTCCCTCTATTTCTTTTGCCAAGCTTTTTCACTCACAGAATCACAGAGTTGTATGGCTTGGATGGAACCTCTAGAGATCATTGTGTCCAACATTCCTGCTAAAACAGGTTCCCTACAGCAGATTACAGAGGAAAGAATCCAGAGAAAGAGGCTCTATGCCTTCTCTGGGCAGCTTGTTCCAGTGCTCTGTAACTCTGATAGTTCTTCCTTGTTCTTCCTTGTTATTTCACTCAAGTAACAAGTTTCTAAAACTATATTTCTGCACAAAATAAAATACTGGTAAAGCATATATAAGCACAATTTGATTATTATTTTACCATTTTATCTGCATAGTCTGGATTCAAAACTGTCAAAGGAAAAAAGTTAATTTGCTTCAAGTAAATTTGAGAGAATGCTTACATATGGTTTCATTAGATTGCCTTTTGTCATCAGTGTGGCTGAGGGTTCAGAGGTGTTCTTTTGCCACCAGTCATTTTCTGTTCATCACTCCTGCAGTAAATAATGTACATATCAGATAGCTCTGATTAAAACTCAGGGAATTAATTATTCCAAGTTTCTTCAAAGCAGTAGAACTCACTTGCCCTTATTATTTTCCCATAGAATATATGCTTAAATATTAGCAACTCTACCTGAAGAAATCCATCACAGAATACAGAATTCTCAGGAATACCAGGATAAATCATAAAATAAAAAATCCTTTATGAAGAATACACAAACTTTATCCCTATTCAACCACGTATATTGAATCATCAGTGAAAGAATATTTTAGCACATACCTGAAGAATATTTATCCTAACTTTCAATCATTAAACTAAAATTAACTGATCATTAGTAAATATATTACCTCTATCTATAAAAAAGAAAAAAATTATCTTTCTACAATCTGTATCAGCAGTTGGCAATTTTGAGTGATTGGACCAATTTGCACAAACCAAAATGCCTTAAAAGAGCATAATTTTCACTGTCGGGACATTCAGAATTTTCTGCAAGAACTCTTCAATGATGGGTTAAGCTAAGCTCTCACTGATGAAAGATCATAAAAACTAATTATTAAAAATAACTGACTTTAAAACTCTCACATTTGTTTTTAGCAGATATTTCTGTGTATAGATTTAACTATCTTTGTCAGTTATACCATAGTTAGAAATATTTTCACCTACCCATTCACTTTTGTTATCTTCCAACAAGCTTCTATCCTGGATTTCCAGATAACACTTGGTAAAATATTATACAGTGCTTATTATGTTCCTTATCCTGAAAAGGAAGATAAGTGGAAAGGTACTTAATCACCCAAGGCTCTTTATAAAGAAATTCTTCTCATTGTTTCAGTGCAAATAATGCATGATAAAAACTTTGATTAATGTGACGTATTTCAATTAATTTGATCTTATGCATGCTATGTAATATCTGATTAACAGGGAATAAAGTTCTTTTGATATTAGTTAAAGGTAAGATTTCAAAGCAATGCAAAGATGTTTTACTTCTACTGATGTTTACAAAAGTTGTCTGACCAAAGTCACGCATATTACATTCAAAATTCACACTACTAATTAATTAAGAAACTAAACTTCATGAGCACTACTGACAAGTTGAGTTAGGTGGATCAGAGTAAAATGTCTATTTCTATAAAGTTGCTATACTGTATGCAGTACACACGATGTCTTACAAGCTTTGTCCTTTACATTTGTGCACCTTTTAAACTATATAAAGAAAGATGTCAGTTCAGTAATTCTGCCTGGAAAATGACAGTATTTAGAAATAAATATAATTAAACAGAGGAAAAATCCTTTTCGTTGTATATTTTGAAAGTATGTGTGCACAACACAATAAATTATTCACATACTTTAGCAGCAGGATGCCTATCTTCAACTAAAATTATTAACAACACATCACTTTAAAAGGCTTTCTGTGCAAAAATAAAATATTTATGTTTATTGTATATTTAAAACCAGTGTTGTTTTTTTACAAAAGTTACAGAAACTGTAACTTTTCTTATTGTTGTTACATTTACACTGGTATGTAAAAGCAAGGTGATGTAAGCATGCTGCTATAACTTTTCAAGTTCTTTCATATGGTAAAAATCTCCCCAAGAACACCCTCCCCATGACACAAACGACAACAACAAAAAACAACAATCATAGCACCACTACAAGTACTACCACCACCAAACATTAAAGTCTCATTCAAGAATGTACTGCAAGATAGGAGATTAATTCAGATTGATATGCCTGATGCTTCCTTTCAAATTATATTAATGGTTAAAAGTTGCACCAAAAAAAAAAAAAAAAAAAAAAAAAAAAAAAAGGAATCTTTTGTTTGATTGGTTTGCTTGTTTGCTTTTGCTTTTTTTTTTTTGTTTTGTTTTTTTTTGTTTTTTTTTGTTTTTTTTTTCCCCAAACTGCAAACGGAATACATGGATTTTCTGATATGAAAATAAAATTAAAATAAGCTTTAACCTATATATCCTATATAATTCCTAATCACTTCCCTGCCCATCTACGAGCTCACTGATTGCTTTTACTTTGAACTGGTCCCTTTCAGCAGAAATTTGTTGCACAAGATCTGGCCACTGTAGTGAACCAGTAAGCGCCAATGAATCTGAAGGATTCAATGCATTATATATACTAACTACCATGTTCACACAAGAAATTATCAGTATAATTCCAGTCTTTTATTTAGGCCTACGTAACAAAATTTTGCCTGGACTTTTTGTGCAGTGTGCCCTTTCATAATTTTTAAGTGATTTAACATTTAAATTTACTCTTAATGAGTAAAACAGTTTCTTATTGAAATGAATGGAAATAAGATGGAAATTGAAGTTTGATTTATATTATTAGGAAAACTGAATTATGTTGTATGATACATGAGGAAACTTAATAAAGAATGAGAGAATTATAGCGGGAAAAAAGAAAAGGGAAGCATTATAGCTGTAAAGAGTTCATGTAGAAATGAAATTACAGAGAAAATGGATTTTGGGATACAAATCTAAGAAAAAAGAAGCCAAAACACATAACAAATATCAGACAAAAGAAAAGCGTGATGTGTAGGATGCAAACTGAACAGCTCCCATCTCTTTTTCACATGACAAAATAGACTTTTTAATATTTATTAACTGATATGATCTTCAGCTTTTTTTTTTTTGTAATCACTTCAGATTTTCATGTTTCTCTTCTACTCTCCCCTTTTTTGCACTGTGACCTTTTATTCTATTGTCTTTTATTTCAGTCCCCTATTTACCCTCTTTCTACCTATTCAGTGATCATTTGAGAAGTATCTTTACTATATTCTTTCTATTATTCATGCTATAAAAACAAACTACAGAGAAAAAACACATCAAGAGCGTTTAAAATTATGCAAAGAAAGCAACACATAACATGAAAATAACCTGGACACCTACAAGGACAGTTTCAAATACCGATGCATTTACCATAATCTGAATATTATTTTAATGAGCATATATATAGTTAGCCATTTAAAAAAAAAGTCTCATTTCTAGGTAGTTTAACTTACCCAATTTTTATATTTTTTCGCTGTTCTCCTACATCTTTCCTAACAGAAGGTGGACAACTGAGAATTATTCTTTCCAAAACTAAAATTTTATTTTGTCATTTGTGTGTTTTGATAACAATTGCCAATCTTAGGCAAAAATCAGTTTTGCTTAATAAAATACATGAACATCAAAGATTTAGAGCTCCCAGAAATAACATTTCTCTTCTAGAATCCAGTGAGTTTACTCCCTAATTGGCAGTATAGCAATGGCATACTTGTAAGAGAATTAACATGATAGCTTTGTCCTTCAAATTTTTGCTTTTACTACCTGTTTAGGTAATCAGTACAGCCTGAATGCTGTTGCTTATATCAATTAAATCAGGTCAAAAGCATAACAGCAGGAAAAAGAGATCAGTCAGTTACCATATGAAAACCCAAGACGCTGGGGCACCTTATGGTATGTGCAAACAATTCACTATACAATTTCTGGAGAGAGGAAACTGGCATACTGTTGAATGCTGTTTTCCTTTGGGTAAAATTTTAATTAAAAAATCAGCATGGATACAGGTTTTAGATCCTCACTATTCAAATAGCTGAGATAGCTGTTTTGAATTTTAAAATCTTGTAAACTATTAAAAAAAAAAAAAAAAAAAAAAAAGACTTCTGTTGTTTCACTCTTAGAACTATTTATAATAGTATTGACCAGAATTTCTGAGCCAAGGGAATCCTGATGTGTGTCACAACAGAACTTACAGAGGAGATACTGAAAAAGTTCAGTGACTCCTGGATAAAACAT